AACCACGCACTTTCCACCCGACAATCATTTCCACCCACCGCCCCTTTTCCATCCGCCACCCCTTTTTCATCTGCCGGTCATTTTCCACCCACCACCCACTTTCTGTGACCCTCGGACCCCAACTTTGAGGCCCTGCACCCCAAAGGGCCCCGCAGCGCGCCGACGTCCTCCTCAAAAGGCATGCCGTCGGGAAGGGAAGGGGGGACGTGCACGTGCACTTCCTGGAAAAAAGGGGAGGCGGGGGGGAATTCCTGGAAAAAAATCGCCAATCTCGGTCACTTACTACTCCTATTTTCTCTTGAAAATTCATAGAAACTTAGAAAATTTTGGTGAATATATTCTGGACTTTTCAGGATAGTCACATGGAATGCGATTTAAGGGGAAAGAAAATGATGAAATGTCAGTTTTCACTGAAAATTCAGTGCAATTCGGCACTAAATATTCAGATTTCATTGGAAACCCCAATACATTGAGGAATGCCCTTTATGCTGCCTAAAATTCTGAAATTTCACTGAATTTTTAGTGAAATCTGAAATTTCAAGATTTATTTCCCCAAAATCGCATTCAGCATCACTATTCCAAACATTAGCAATCAACTGTCTATAAAATTTGTTTCTTTTTTCTAACAGTGTAACAAGGTTAAAACGATCACAAGGGTAAAAAAAGCAGAGTTGGTAGGATAATCTCCAACGCTCCATCGACCGCAAGGGTCAACCGAAAAATGCAGACAGGCCAATGCCGAAGGTCAGACGATCACAAATTGGCGAAATAATCAGAAATCTCTTCCGCTTGACCTTTGTGATCATCCTGCATGCTCACCTCCTCCATTTGGACATGGTGATTATCCTGTCTATCTCGGACGCTTGACCCTTGTATTTGTTTAATCCTTGATATTTTCCTGACTGCCTCTGGTTAACTCTTGTAAATGGTTGACCCATACGAGTCATAATTCCTAAGACCCTCGACACTCAATAGTTATGATCCATCACACAGAAACATCTAAACATAAATTACGTTTTGCTGAAAGTAATTCACGATTGTGCATTCGTAAATTATGCTCAAAGATACCATAAATTACGGTTACATAAGAGTAATTTATGATTTTGTATTTGTAAATGACGCTTAAAACCTCCGTAGATTACGCCCAAAGAAAGTGTCTTTTATGTTTCACTAATTGTGTTTTACGCTTCAGGAATCGTCACTATTTTATAATTTACTTACACGCAATTTACGATGAAAAAAATCGTTTTTTACGCTAAAAATCATTGTATTTTGCATTTTTTAAATTCGTTGTAAATTACGAATGGGTAAATATAAATTGAGGAAAACATCATTTTAATTTACGAATACAGAATCGTAAATTACGAGTACGCAACCGTAATTTACGGTAATTTTGACCGTCATTTATATTTCAACTGTAAGCGTAAAATACGCTTCAGAAAGTGTAAAAGACGACTTAAAGGTAATTCACGTTTAGGTTTTTTTGTGCGATATATGTGACGGTTGATCCTCGCAGGAAGATCCTTGCAATCAGAAAATCCTTATGACGCTGAAGTCGCGGACTTCAATCCTTGCCTTCGTAGATTTACGAAGTTTGACCGGTATAAATCGTTATTCATTTAAATAACGCATGCGAACAGAGGGATGGGGGTGACTCAGTGAGTTTGAGGAACCCCCTTCCCTTGTTGGGTAAAATTTGCAACCCTCCCTCATCATACTTCCCGCTTCCAGTCCCTCGCAAATTCTTAATTTTCGCGATTTTCATTGTTTATTTAACATTGTTTTTACGATTATTTTAAAACATTTTTTTTAAATCAATGCATATGGGTGGCTCAGTCAGATTTGGGAGCCCCCTTCTTGTTGGGTAAAATTTGCAACCCTCCGTCGTCGTACCTCAACTTTCCGACCCCCTCGTGACAGCTTAATTAATGGTTGGCTAAAATTTGCAACCCTCCGTCGTCGTACCTCCCCCTTTCGCCCCCTCGCAAAGTCTCAATTTGCGAGATTTTCATTTTTTATTAATCTTTTTTTCTTCAATCAAGGCATGCTAACGGAGGGATGGGGGGTGGCTCAGATACATTCTGAAACCCCCTCCCCTTGTTGAGTAAAATTTGCAAGCCTCCGTCGTCGTACCTCATCCTTTCACCCCCTCGCGAAGTTTCAATTTTCGAGATTTGCATTTTTTATTTAACATTTTTTTTATTCAATCAACGCATGCTAACGGAGGGATGGGGGGTGGCTCGTATAGATTCTGCCCTCCCCTTGTTGAGTAAAATTTGCAACCCTCCGTCGTCGTATCTCCCCCTTCCACCCCCTCGCAGTCTTAATTTTCGTGAATTACATTTGTTATTTAACATTTTTTTTATTCAATCAATGCATGCTAACGGAGGGATGGGGGTGGCTCAGATAGATTCTGAAAACCCCTCCCCTTGTTGAGTAAAATTTGCAACCGTCCGCCATCATACCTCCCCCTTGCACCTCCTCTTAAATTACCAATTTTCGCGATTTTCATTGTTTATTTAACGATTTATGTTAATAATTTTTCTTCAACAATTTTTTTAATCAATGCATGGGGGTTGGCTCAGTCAGATTCGGGAACCCCCTTCTCTTGGCGGGTAAAATTTGCAACCTTCTGTTGTCGTACCTCCCTCTTTCAACCCCTCGCAGTCTCAATTTTCGAGATGTTCATTTTTTATTTAACAATTTTTTTTATTCAATCAAAGCACGCAAACGGAGAGATGGGGAGTGTCTCAGATAGATTCTGAAACCCCCTCCCCTTTTTGAGTAAATTTTGCAACCCTCCGCCATTATACCTCCCCTATTTACTCAATTAACACATGCGAACGGAGGCATGGGGGGTGGCTCAGATAGATTCTGGAACTCCCTCCTCGTGTTGGGTAAAATTTGCAACCCTCCGCCGTTGTGCCTCTCCCTTCCTCCCCCTCGCAAAGTTTTAATTTTAAAGATTTTCATTTTTTATTTAACAATTTTTTTTATTCAATCAACGCATGCAAACGGAGAGATGAGGGGTGGTTCAGATAGATTCTGAAACCCCCTCCCCTTGTTGGGTACAATTTCCGACCCTTCGCCATCGTATCTCCCCCTCATTCCGCCCCCTTGTGTTCCGCCAATTTCCTTAATGAAGATAGGATTTTCGTATATGATATTCGGATATTTCTATACGATTTTTTCATACGTGGGGTGGCTCAGATAGATTATGAAATCCCCTCCCCTTGGCTAGAATTTGCAACTCTGTGTTATCATTCCCCCCCCCCCAATAAACACGTTATCAAATAAATTAAAACAATGGAAAAATAATTATTATTATCTGAAATCAATCACACGAAAATATATCCGATTCAATTCCTATCTTCTGTGCACGTTTGATTACCTAAAATAAAATAACAAAATATGCGGCAACATTGCACACCCGTTAACTAGCTCGGCAGACGACTGGTTAGACCAGCCTGGTCTACAACTACTGTCGACTTTACCGATCCGAGCGGGAAATTGACGCTACCGCCATCTCGCGGCATTCCCCCTACAAGCTTCTATCATCATTCTTAACACTAAAAATAATTTCATTCAATTGATAAATAACAATGTAACTAACGGTACCAGTATGAATAAATACCGCATATATCAACTTTTATCATGTTTTTAGGGGTAATTCCCCATTTTCTAGCCCTAAGATCGACAATAAAAATCAACGACGCTATACAGTCATTGTACAATCGCCCTTGGATCTCCAGGGTAGATTTGATTCTTATTATTCTTTTTTTTTTCAATTGAAGAACTGGGTTTATGTGGAAATGTCAAAACCCGTCTTTTTCGGAAGTTTGATTCTCTACAAAAAATGTCTCTAAACATTTTCTGTAAAATAATTCAGACCTGAGATAATTTCATAATTAATTACATCGATAAGACATTAGGGATTTCAATGAATAATAATAAAAATTGACCATTCGAGTTAGTCATTAATTTAATTTGTTTATTTTCAGTGGGTTTTAGGGAAGCATGTGTGGAACCGACTCAACACAAGTGCCTTAAACCACTTCTGAATAATTGAAGTAACATCAAAAGGCTCGCCTCACAAAACCCTCCAGTGGCTTCAGAGGACTCGAAAGACACCAACAAAAGACAATAGATGATAGAGAACTTCATGAACAGTGAAGTAAACTTCGCGATTGGAAATACAAATGAGAATTTTATCGTTCCCTGTCTTCCATTGACTTCGATCGAAGTCGAGAACGCTCCCCTCTAGAAAGCTGGAGAATTATCTACAGAAAAATCTATTTTTATAATTGTGTAGGGAAAGAGGAAAGTGAGGACCCGGTGTTTCGTTCCAGAGGTGAGAAGTTAGTTACTTATCAATTGATTATCGCAACTTCATCCAAAATTGAATTTTAAACTTAAGAAGAATTATGATGTCATCACTTTTCAATTATTTCAATTATTTCTGATGAAGATTGATTAATATTATTGATATTTTCCATCAATTTTCAATTAATATCGATCAAACAATATTAAAAATTGATGATAATTGATTAAAAATAATATTTTGGAATTTAAAATTGAATTTAGAATGAATTTTAAACTTCGAAAAAATGATTCCTCATTAATTTCCAATCATTTATGATTAATATTAATTAATATTATTCATGTAATTGATATTTTCCATCAATTTTCAATGATAATCAATTGAAAATGAATTTTTTAAATTTAAAATGTAACCCTGAATGAATTTATGACAATTTGATTATTTTTTTCTATTCCAGAACTGCATGACGAAGAACTTCAATGCTGGATTATGGATGACATCAGTGAACAATGTTCTGAAATCAACAACAGGTTCTTTCCAAGATAAAGATCCATTATTAACTAGTCACACAAAAATTTCGAAGCTCCCAAATGCAGAGATAGACTCTAGAATAAGAAAATCTCTCGAAGAAGCAAAGAAATTCGCTCTAAAAAAATTCAAAAAGTAATGAATTTGGAAGTAGTGAAACAAATTATTGATTTTTAATTTAATTTGTAAATAAACTGGATTTTTTCAATTGTTTTTCATCCACAAAACACACCGAGAACACTGGAACATTTTTTCAACGTCAATAATTGATTTTTTATCAACTTAAGTCTTTATGTTCTTGGGTTGATCCCTTCGATTGAAGAAGAGATTGAGCCAGTATATCATTGAATCAATCCAACCTTTTTAATTTTTGTGCATGATACTCAGTTCGCTCTTTATCTTGGGAGTCTCGTGTCTTAGCCTACCCTTCCATTATCTCAGTCAAGCTTTGAGCAACAGTTTTTCTCTTCAAGTCTGAAATGAAGCACAATATTGGAAAATATGTATAATGCTATTTGATGAATTATAGGTAGACTGAGAGAGACAGTCAATTATCTTTCTTATCCCTCTGAGCATCTGTTTGATATTCCAGACTTTGCTCTCCGGCTTCACCTGCTGATGAAGCAGTAGACAATGGGGCCATATATGGTGTCTTCCCCAATTGCATGTTCTAGAAAATGATAATACACGATAATTCACAATAACTCATCGGTGTACAAATTATTTAAAGCCATGTACACCTCAAAAAACATCCAGTCCATGCGATCTGCGCCCGAGTGGATATTGTGATCATGCACTACTTTATATTTCCGTTGCATTGTTTGCCATTTTGACCGACATTTAGGTACATCAACATGGTATCCTTGCAAATTCATACCACTGCTTATTGCTTCCCACAATTTGTTTTGTACTTTTGTTGTCTTGGTTAATTTAGAAGATAATTTCTGCATCTCTTCTGTGTACAAGTCCAGAAATGACTTCGTCGCTGCATTTGACCACTTGTATTTGCCTATAATATTGAAAATCTCGCAGTGTTAATAACGCTTAAACTGCACACTGGGTCAAATTGACTCAGTCAACACTCTAATTTTTTTTCCAATAAATTTTTGCTATTGCGAAATAACTATCTATTTCACAGAACCTTATATGCCCTCAGATTCTACTCCCAGTGATAGATCTTGATCCACCGAATACAATTCGATTTCTTCTGATGTCTTAATGAAAGAACAAAATATTCAATTCTCTAGGAAATTCTGTCGAAAAACGCTTTTTTTAAGATGAAAATTTTACTCAACCTGTTTTTGAAGAATGGAATAATTGTGCATTCTGTCAGGAGATAGCTATATTAACTATCATGCGTTAGAAAAATCCACTCCACCGGAAAAATAGGAGCTGAGATATTTGACAAAAATTGTGGCTCGAATCGACCCAGGTGTGCAAGTAAAAGGGGGTCAAAAAATGAGTGAGCAAGTTAGGGATTTATATAATCTAATGAAAAGTTCTTAATACATACCTGTAGCAGAGATGTCCTTGTTTCCAGTGGGTTTCTCGGTGCTGTATTTCTCCACAACCACTTTCTCGTCATCATCTTCATCATCACTTAAGTGTGCTTCAAAGTTCAATTCGCTTTCCATCGACTTTCCAAGAACTTCCAAATATGGATGAGGCTTTTGAACACCCCATTCATCTAAATCATTTCAAGAACTGCATTTAGGAGCCCCAAAGCCATCAGGAGTATTTTCCTTATCGAATTCCTCTTGTTAAATGCAACTCGCCAATAACACAGATGCAAATTGATTATCTGTGAAGGTAACGATCAATTATTTTTGTATGAGGACTTCAAGTGATAACAACCATTAGATTAATAAGAATTTACCTTGCACCGCAAGTGCAGCATCTTCATTGGATAAGAGGACGGTGTACTCTTTACTGGTCGTAGGGTCGGAAATTGATATCTTTGTGGTGTGCTCAAGGTCAGACACCCCATCGGGGTCCTCCGCCCTCATTTTGATGGGTGAATTTGATCTTTATCAAGTAAATCTAATAGTCCAGTCAAACTAGCTCTGAAAATGTCGTTTACATCAAAATTAACCAAAGGGCACCAAATTACACCAATCGATAGCTAAAAGTGTAATTATTAATGTTTTAAAAAGTATATGCTCAAATTTGCCGGGGTGATTCACAATTTGTTATAAACAACTGGGAATTGCCGACAGGCCGTCTTCAATCCTAGATATCTTTAGTTATAACTAATAAGTTGCGCATGGCGCCAATCACGTGACTCATGGCACTGTCGCAGGGAGGGTAACAGCTGACGCGTTGCGCCGACTGCTCCGAAATTACTATTATAATTTATAATAAATTAACGGTACATTTTGGGCTATAAGTTCCTAACTCCCCCCGATAGGACATTTTCTCAGCTACAAAGAAATATTTTTTTTTCCCATCTGATGAGGTTAACTAAAGATATCTAGGATTGAAGACGGCCTGTCGGCAATTCCCAGTTGTTTATAACAAATTGTGAATCACCCCGGCAAATTTGAGCATATACTTTTTAAAACATTAATAATTACACTTTTAGCTATCGATTGGTGTAATTTGGTGCCCTTTGGTTAATTTCGATGTAAA